TATATACAGTATATTTGTGTATCCGTAATTTTACTGTGCGACGCAGTACATAATATTAAACCCTACCGCGTCATGTCAGTCTTAAACAGGAATAACGTTGATTGTAATATCACTGTCATTAAAAAAATACAATCCCACACGTGTTTGGCATGTGCAACAAAGCTTCGTGTTACCGACTGGCTCATCTATTTTTTGCCTGTAATATTTATTATAGCGAACTCGACAACGACCAAACATATGACACTTATAGCAGAAAAGCGAAAGTTTATGAATTATATTGAGAAAACTATGCGTTCCACAGAGCACGAGTTATATATATATATACATAGACGACAATCTATAGCTGTTAACCGACTACGTGATGGGTTCTGATAACTCGAACCGAAAGCTAGCTGCATAACTTTACGGCGTACCAATACCTCTTAATTGGAAATATGAACTGATTAATTATTTGCTTAGAGTATTCCAAACTATCCAATTCCAATGAATTGGATGTCCATGTCAAATGTGTTTCAATAACAAATTGTATAACCCAGATAACCAGTTGATGATAAAATAAATTACTCTATAGTGAAGACTTAAAAACAAAAGTTCATATTTTAGCTTAATATATATTATGTTGAAACTGTCATGGATATGACAAACAACTAAATTATGTACTATAAGTTTCAGCTCGCCAAATATGTACAGTAGTATTTTTCAATAGATTGCTTTAATTTCTCGTCGAAACTCACAGATGTAAATCTAAAAATGATTACCGTTTCGCATTTTTTGTTTCCTCACCATATCGGATCGTCATCTTAATTAAAATCTCTTCCATAATCTATCTCCTGATGCGAAACGGTCATCGGGCGAAATCCCGCTTGTACACATACGTGTTTTTTATTATACCGGGGCCGTTCGCGATTGAATTACCACCGGCCACCGGTGGATAAGATAAGTACTGGTGCGATTCTATCGAGTGTTGAGAAACCCAAAGGAAAGAAAGAGAGAGAGGTAATAATAATCAATCGATAACCGGCAGACAGTCATTATTATTATTATATTGCCGGCCACCTGAATAATATGCTTGCGGGCGTGTGTGTTATGTTTTTTCCTGCCAGCCGACCTAATACATATAAAAAAAACATCGAAGCTAAAATATATATACATATATTGTATCAAAGCCGGTAAGTTTGCACGCTGATATTCTTATATGGAATAGTTGGTAGGCACTACAACCTAAGAATTTCCATATCAACTGTGTGAGGTCCTCCGTCCACGGCTTTATTGTTTCTCACAAAGATCTGTATAGCTACGCGCCTCGTGCGCTCGTTAGTCATTACTGTTTTTTTTCCATTGTGACTGTAATTTTGTTTTTTATTATTGTAAAATTATATATTATCACACACTACCCATACGGGTAGTCGATATCCGGTTTTGGCAAAAATATGCTCTATGACCACATATTGAGTTTTTAAAACACATTTTTCTGTATCCGAAATATTATAAAGTGTTAAGTAAATGATACGTCTATACTCTATACTATATATTGACATGGTTATTATTTATAAGTAAGGCCCGGAAGATTATGTTCTTAAAACAACCAAAATATATAGGGGTGATTTTTTTTATCATGGACCATTCAATATCTCGCTGAGTTTAGTTAATAATTGAATTTTTTTTTTTTTATAGTGTTTTTATATTTGAGAATAATTTACTAAAAATGTTGACTGGTCGATAACCAGTTTTGGATAATTATTTTTGAAGTTATAAGAGTTTAAAAGTTAGGAAGGGAGGGGAAGTGCGCGTAGATAAAAATAATACTACACTGCACCTTTCTTCCTGCCCTTAACTTGAAACTTCAATACTTAAAATAGTTCAAAAAAAGAAGTATGGTACGGTATAAATGTTTGGTGAACATCTAAAGTAAAAAATGGGCAGATTCCCATTTTTATTACTCATGTTCTTTTTAGTCATTTTCCATCATTTTTAACATCTTTATCTTTGAGCAATAGTAAAAAAAAAATTAAAAATAAGCGTTAAAAGTATAGTTTGTTTTCGATCTATAAAATTGTATACTACTTTTATACAACATTTTGGGTACACGGTCCACTACTTTGATTATGGCCTCATTTTCATCCAAGATTCTTATACACATATATAAGCCACAACACCAGTCACTCGATAACGCATGCAAAACTACACGAAATGAAAGGCCGGTCAATTTTCACACAGGTTTCATTGTTTTTTTTTTTTTTTAGTCAATTCGACTGGTCGTCGGCATAACTATTATTATGTTAACACAAAATATGTGGGTTACACTAGCAACACGTTTCGAAATACCCCAACAGTAGTTCGTATGTGCCAACACGTCATTTTCCCTAGTTAGTGTTTATGTTTTACGATATATGTATAAAAGATATATACATTTTGTCGTTGATACTGCAACAGTGCGTACCTCAAAATTTGGCCAAATGACATTATTACCAATATTGATAAATCATGTGCCGCCGAAAATATATTGTTAATGGTGTTTTTTTATTAGACTTATAGTTGCACTGTAAATCATAAAAATGATAACACAGCTTATAATATCAAAACCTATTCATTTAAATAACTTATTTTGCTTCTCCTGAAAACACTTGGAATTGAGATACGCGCTGTTGCAGTATCAGCGACGAATTTTGTATGATAATATAGTGTAGTTATCAGTACTCGCCAAGGGAAAGAATAAAATTGTATCACATCAAACTATCTACTCTTTTTTTTTTTTAATGTTTCTGGTTTTAATCTCGACCGCCATTCGAGATAGTTCTACGATCAGCGCGCCAAATAAATAATTATAAGAAGTAACATCTTCATTTTGAAATTACTTTGGTAACAGTAAAGTATTATGTTTTTTACTACCTTAATCGAATCGACACCGATAAGTCGACCGGAACGACGCGGCCCGTTTGAATATGTTTTAAAAGCGTTTATTCTATCTTTTTATCCGTATGACAATAGTATTTAAATAACAACGGTAAATGATTGACTGGCCAAAACAGTCAACTTTTCAAAAAATGGAAATCGCTTATTTTACGACAATTCTTATAAAATGTTTATTGAGGAGTTTAACTCGCTTGTAGATAAAACGGAGAGGCGGATAGGATACATATTTGCTACCGGTAAATTAATAAATAATAAAAAGGGCTCATAGCTACTTAGTGTTGGATTTGATTAAATATGGAATGTTTGTAATTGTTTATTAATTATTATAGAAAATATTATCTTGCAAAAATACAAGGGCAACATATACTTTTTATGTTTAACGCATTGTTTTTTTTTTTTGTAAAACTCATTTATTTTTTATATTTTTTAGATTAACTAAAACGCTTTATCATTAATGAAAAAGAAAATAATGTATGTATGTAATTTAGGTATTAAAAAAAATAATAGTGTGTTGTTACCTATATGTATATAATATACTTTCCACACGTATAAAGACAACGGTAATATTCTTGGGGTTTTTTTTCGTTTCCGTGAGAATTCCGTTATAAATTCAACGAGAACCGAGCTATGATGGACAACAAGAACGAAGAAGGTTGTAAAAATATGATTTTTTTTATAAATGGGAGCAGCCAGCCATTGTACATTTTTTTGTTTAAATTTATAAATAAAACTATAAAATTATAAATAAATTATAATAAAACTATACACAAACTTTTAAAAAACGTTATTGTCTATTTACAATTAGTTGCTTGATGGGATTTATGTCGATAAAGCTTGCTAGCTAATTATTACATTATTATTAGAGAGATAATATTGACTCTTGGGTGTTTCTTTTAAAAATCAGTTAATGTTTATGTATAAAATGTAATTTAAAGAAAAATATAAGTTCTTATCATTAGTTGGGGAGTCATTTTTATACTTCATGTTATTGTTTGTACTTCGTATAATTCTGATAATTTATATCCAATAATGTTTCCGCATAATCTGTGAAAGTAATTATATTAAACAGTTTTGTGCATATTCTTTATTTTGAAATGTGACCTACATGTTGGTATTTGCTTAAGTTTTTGTTTAAAATATAAATCACTATATTATGTATTTATTCATTATAATATTCATCACTGATTATTGATGGGTGGTTTTTCTAATAAGAAGTGGATTTCATAGGGTGTTTGAATTGTTTTCACTTAATTTTTTGTTTGAAATACCTTTGATAATTACTTGCTACTTTCTATATAATAACACAATATGTATTTTCGCTGAATATTATCGAACCTGTCGCGCGGTTGAATAAAAACTTTTATCCGCGGTGCTCTTGGAGCGTCACACTCTGTCTTAAGAAGCTAACGACATTACATTATTATTATTTTCACCTTTTTGCCAAAGTCATCGACTGTAATGCGCATTGATCGTCCAATATACACGAGATACGCGCACACAACGGGAATATCTAATGCCCATGACCCGCTTTCTTTCGTTTGTATATCAATAATGTTATTTTAAAGGAAGATATTATAAGATCATGTGGTGCGACGTTTTTCGGGAACAATTAAGTAGGCAAACGACGATACGAAGAAGCGTTGGGTAAATAATAGGTTTTTGAAAAGCTCATTATGGTATTTAATAATCGAGACGCCGCCACACACAATAGGATGCCAATTAAAACTGCGGTCGTCGGCAGAGAAAGTCTTGTATAAACATATATATTATAATACAACAATTTTATATTATGATTTCTGTATAATATTTAGGATTATGAGAGACTATTGCGTTTTGGCGGCGGCTCGCAAACCGCTGAAACTACTCACGTTCTGATAATAATATGTTCGGCTTACGTGAACTATAGGTAAAGCGGTCACCTGGTCATAATACGGGTCGTGCTCGTTCATGAAACATTAAATTTTGTATAATATTATATAGACAGACCGTAGTGGCTCCCCGAGGGATGTCGAAAGCATAATATTGATACCGAGCATGTCGCAACCACAATTTTTATACTATTGTTGCATCGTATGATTTTGTTCCAGGGGAAGGAGTGGCCGCCTGAGGAGTCTGCCGGCGCTGTACCAGGACGACGACGACGGCAACGATCTCAGCGATTTGGGTATAAGCACCGGCGGCAAGAAGTCCGAAGACAGTTCAGACGAATGTAGCAAAAACGGTCGTGAAGACGAGGTTTTCCGAGAAGAGGTCGAACAAGAGGAAGAGTCTCGGGATCCGGGTGCCGTCACAAGTGAGCGCAACGAAAACGGATACGATCGGGCCATCAAGGACTACGTGGACTTTGCCGAGTCTAAGAGGACCGCGGTTGTTCCGGCTTGCTCTAAGCAGGAAGACGACGATGGCGAGAGACAGCTGCAGCTGCCTACTTATAGGAAACCGGCACCGTTGCTTGTGGCCGAAGCCAAGCGCAGGATGTCGGCGCCAAAAATCGAAGAGAAAGTCATGTTGCTCAAAATCAGATCGCAGTCCACCAAAGACTTGCACTCGGCCGTGGCCAACGAACTGCCCAAAGTGGACATTGGCAAACGCCGGGAAGTATTCGAAAAAGCCGCTACCGAACAAGTACAACCGTTGCCGGTCGCTCTGAAACCGACTAAAAAGAAGTTGTCGGAACCCGTCGGATCAGCGGCTCCCCGTCAAGAATCGCCTCCGCCTACTTCCACCAGTAAGTCAAAACAATAATAAATTCCCAACCTGACTGTTTAACTTAACCTAACTTTAAAACTTCCGAAAAAAACCTTACCGGCTACGGGCGGGCTACACATTTGTTGGTGTTATTCGTGTACATACGGGTTGACGAACGTCATAGGGTTTCGAGTTCTCACAGGAGGTATAAAAAAAAACCCGTAATTTACCCTTTTAATACTAATCAAATATAGTAAACAAGTACGTAGAGTTGTTAGACAGGGCTGCGTTAAAACAGTCGCCCCGAACTCGTTGAGCGTTCTCCTGTCAGGCCCAACTTTACCGTCGCTAAACGACGAATTACTTAGTAGACATAGGTGTGACTTGGGACTATACGACTTTCTATTGTCAAATATTTGTTTTCAGAACCGACATTCGAATCACAACCTGAATCGACGTGCGTGGCTTCTTATCGCAATGAAGAGGAACAGCGGTCGGTACCGCTAGTCCAACAACAGCAATTGCAGGATGACTCTGTCGAAGAAGAGGAAAAGCCCATCGTGGCCATGGAGAAAGAAAGGCCGAGCATGGCTCCGTCGACCGCCGAAGACGAATACCGGTTGCATAACCACGAACTGTCCCTGTCTGACCTTGTAAGTCGCCATTCCATCGACAGCTTAGACCAGGAGGAATGCGGCCATCACACGACCGAGGACCCCGACGACGGCAACTATCCGGGATCGTGTCTGAGCGCCGAAGACAGCGGCATACACACCGAAGACATGTCGAGCTGTGTCAGTCAGGCCGATGACGAGGAACAGCGATCCAACCTGCAGCCCAGTCCCATCCAACAGCACCAATTGCCCGTCGTTCCACACGTCGAAACTTCTTACAACATGGTGAGTGAGACGGTTTATACCTTTCATGATACAGTCTAACGGGTTTTTTCTCTGTCAACTCTTATCGCAGGTACTGGAACTGACACCCGTCAACGCTTTGGAGCCACCCAAGGAGAAGCCTCCTCCGCCGCCGGTAGACGATGACGACTCCTATGCCGAGGCAGAAGTGAACTTGCCACAAGAGCGTCATCTTACGGTAACCGATCATATTATCATAATGTAGAGTAGTGTTAAGTTTTTGTATGAACGCTCGTTGTTGTCCTGGCAGGCCGCGGACGCCGTCGATTCGGCGAAACGCATTAAAAAGGAAATGTGGATGAAACGTTCGAGTTTTCTGGGCCTGGAAGAATACACCAGTGGCAATGCAGGCTACGAACAAGGTATGTATGGTGGTTCAGTTCTTGTCGTCGTCCTACCAGTTATTGAAATGGCATTATTGTTTTTTTAGATCTAGAAAATTTGAAGTCCAGACCTCCCGATCTGACGTCGTTTTTGGAAGAGGAACGTCGGTTGGAGAAATTGTTGTACAAACAGAACAAACCCGAACGACCGCAAGACACCAGGGTAGGTTAATTTTCTTATACTGAAGTGCGGATACAAGTGGTTCCCCGACGTCGCTTTTGCCAGCGATTCACATCTATAACGCTTTTACCGTCGTTGGACATAATTCAATCTTGATCTCGATGATTTTTGCAGATCTACGAAAACGTTAACGCGCCCACGAAAAACGTATACATCGACGACGGTGGCGATATCGAGAGTAACCAATACATGCGGGACATACTGCAGGTAGAAGAACAAAGCCGGTGCAACCAGTTGAAAAACAAAGCGGCGCAGAACAATATCGGTGAGTGCCTTTATTACTTAAGAAATACATTCATTTTGTATAGTCGATGGTCGGATATTTACTTACAAGTTGTATGCGTTGTCAACAGGCGAGAAGTTAGTGAAGAAACTCAAAGAGTTGGAAGAGGATTTAAACAATCAAGAGTGCATGAGGGTGGGATCCGCTCATTGGTTACCGTCGCCAAACCGGCATTCCCTGCAAGACATTTCCAGCGTGGCCAACGCCCGACCGCCTCTTGACCACACACAGTCTATGCCAAACTTGGAAGTAAGTGATCAAACACATTAACATCACGATTGTTGAATCCAATGCGTATTTTCCAATTTTCTACGTACATCTGATTTTGGATTAGAGACGTGTATTATGTAGGATTTTTAACAACTACATTTCACCTCTTACCTGAAATACGCTTGTGTTACTTTTTCTAATGATCAATTCTATTTTTTTTTCCAGCAACAACCTATTCACAATCAACACCATCAGCCCGAAGAATACACGTGGTGAGTGTGCCATTAATTATTAAGACGGCGCCACACACCCGTTATTTTCTTCAAAAAACCCCCTTTGCATGGATTAATTTTACAAAGGCTGTAATCAAAACTAAGAAACCAAATTTTCACATAATATAGACAACAACGTTGTCTCTGTTCTACCATCGCCCTTTTTTTAATACTTCAACCAGTTAATGAATAATTAATTATTTAAGGACTTTTTTAAAAATGATATAGCGTTTAACCTTTTAGTTTGTACAAAATTGCCTATACTTTACTCCTTAAAAATGGGTGGTGTGGCGACCTCTTAAGGGGATTGAAAGACTGTTTGTTTTTTGACGTTCTAAACCAAAATACCTAACAAAATTTTAACTATTTAGGATGGTTGGTCCGGTTTCAATAGTGTAAAGATATACGAGTCCTTTGGCTTGTTTGATAGGTTATGTTTCAAACGGTTTTTTATATTTTTATTTAAATAAGTTGTGTTTAAATATTGAAAAATTTTCAAATTGAATTTAAAAAAAAAATGAATTTTTTAAATTAAAATCGGTTTTTAACATAACCTACCAACAAAATCTTATATTTTTACAGAATTGAAATTGGATCAAACAGTCTCAGCTTTGTCACGTCTAAATAATTTTTTTACCACCAAAATGGCTTTTACTCATAGAAACAATTAATTAGTTAAAAATAATACCTTGAATTTTTTACAAATAACCTGAAAATAAGTTGACATGGTCGACATTTATAAAAACCACTTTTTTCTTAAATAATGCCTGTATACAAATCCCTAAAAACTACTCGCTCTCAATCCCCTTAATATGAAAATTGGAAGTAAAGTTTTTTTTATACAAAATATGCGGTCAAAATTTTTTTCACGTATGTAAATAATTTCAATTAACTTAATATTGTTCACGGATTCTACATTTACGAAAGTATGTCAAAAATCGTATTGTTTTTTCTAACTTTTACTAAGAACATACAATATGTAAAAAAATTTTTACAATAAGTATTTTTTTTAACTATTTATAATTAAAATCTTAATATTATAATGATACTTGATTATACATGTGAGAAATAACTTGTTAAGACAATAACTGAAAGCGGCCGGTCTTTAAGGGGTTTATATAGGCAAAATTTAAGAAAAAAAGAGGTTTTAATAAACTTTGACCATGTCATTTTTATTTTCAAATAATTTTTATATAAGGTTCAGGGTATAATTTTTAACTTGTACAACTTTACGCCTAAAATCCATTTTATTCCTAAAAGAAACTAATTTAAACCTAAAAGCCTGACAAAATTGTGCCTACTAAGATAAGATATGATTTTGTAAAAATATTTGAGCTGATCTAACTTTTTTCCAGGTTATTGTGAAGTCAATATATCAATAGCTATTTCATTTACTTAAAAAAATCTAATGAAGTGAATACTAAACATTTTAGAAATTCAAATAAGATTTAAACACAATTTTAATAGAAATATCAAAAGTTGATGACCTTATTAACCCTGAAAAGAGGCCCATAAATTCAAATAATTTTACAGAATTGAAATCTGGCCATTTTAAGTAGGCATAATTTTGTCAGGCTTTTAGGCCTAATTCGTCCAAAAAAACTGACTGCTTTCAATCCTCTTAATGAGCTTATGTTACATTATTTTTTGTTTTATCCTATTTGATTATTATGTTTTGTAACTTATATTTCCTATGCTATTACTAATTAAGTTAGGTAATCTGGTTATAATAGTTTACATTTTTTTTTATAAATTTCTTAATCTAGTTTTAGGTCACAAAACAGTTGTCCTCGGCCAGCCCAACAGCCGAACATGTATGCAAAACGAAAATCAACAAACAGTCAACCTGAACAGTTCAATTACCAACATTGGCTCATTCAAGTGAGTAAAAAACAAACGTTATTGTGGGATGATTTTGTAACTCTTATTGTCCGCTGTGCAGGAAGCTGAACATAGGCGTCTAGTTGATAGGTGTAACCGTCAAGTACCACCTCCGTCGGCGTCCGACATGATGCCTCGTTCCTGTACTAGACCGGCTCTGCCACCACCTCCACCACCGGCACACAATAAAAAACCTTTGCCCGACTCTGTAATCAACACGATAACACAACGTGTACAAGACCGTCTGTCGTTTAATGACTTCCACAGGTATAAAGAGAATAATTGTGGTTAATATTTCCCACATTATTGGTACCCAATTAATTTGATGTTTGCCTACTTATAGACACGACCATGGAGCACCTCAGGAGTCAATGTTGAGCGTCAGTGGTAAAAAGAAGTGTTCTCATTGTACGGTGGAGCTGGGTCGCGGCGCTGCTATGATCATCGAGAGCCTACAGTTATTTTACCACATTGAGTGTTTCAAGTGTTGTGTTTGTTGTGTACAATTAGGCGATGGTCTCATGGGTACAGATGTACGAGTCAGAAATAAAAAGTTACACTGTCAAAACTGTTTTTCTAGTGACGATGGTACGTTTTACTTTTTACAACATATTTACACTGTTATCAGTAAACAATAACATAATGTCGTGGTTGTAATAAAATTATCATTGACATTGTTTGCAGGAGTTAAGTTCAGTTGCGTATAAAAAGAAAAAAAGGAGATAAAATTAATACAACATAATTATTTATAAGTAAAAAAAAAAAAATGTTTAATTAAAATATTAATGTTAAAAATCTTTAGAAATTGTAATATATACTAATATGTATATTGTTGCATATGCGTGTATAATTATAAAGAATGAAAACGAGAAAAGGAGAGAGAGAAGCGCATGGAAATTTTATTTTTGTTGTTGTTGTGTTTTTTAGTAATGTAAAAATTTTATTTTTCGAATTTTATTGACAACCATCATCATAATATTATATTATTATATACTTAAATAGAAAATAAAATTATAAAATACATGAAATTACGTAGTATTAATTGTTGTTGTTTTGCACACCTCAAATCTACCGTTTTGCTTGTGGACAGTTTTGTTTAATTAATGTTATTGCAATTTCTTTTTGACCTGAAACCGAAATTAGATTCAATCAACATCAAGGACTTTGTACATCTGATTGAACGTAGCAGGACTTACCTAGTCGTAAGTGAATGTAAAGAGCCAATATGACTACATGCACTGGGACTGAAACATGTTCAATTTTTGACAGCCATATCTACGACAAATAATAACTGTTACATCGCATAATAATATTGTAACAATAAAATCTGATTGTCTAGAATATTATTTACAATATTTTGTTTTGAAATCTAAATTATAAGTTGTCAACAGTAAGGATAAGGATTATTGTAAGAAATTACAATTAATTGTATTTATATTGTATTTAAAATAAACATGGTTCAGTTGAAAAATTTATATCATAAATGTACCTCATGAATAAGGAATATTATATTGATACGTATTCATTGGACCCTCGGGCATCCGCGTCTTCTCCCGGAAACCACCACCCGTGGCAGCATGGTGTGCTATCACACAGGAGCCCGAGGGTTAAAAAAAATATTTCTAGCTTTGGATTAGATAAAAAAAACATTCCAACTAAGAGAGAACTCGATCCACTTTACTCCAGTAATTTTATATACACTATTGCTTATGTTTATTACTAGAATAATAGTTATACAAATTATACTTATTGTTGAGACTGAAAATTTTTGTAAATTAAACCAATTTAGCTTAATCTAAATTAGACAACTCCTAGAATTATCATCATGTAATTTTGATTAGTTAATTAGTATTTAAAACTTGAATAAAGACTAACTCCACGAGTTAAAAGAGCACATAATCGAATAATGCTGTTAAACTCTGATAAGAAAGTTACTGTTATTTTCTCAACAGCTCGGTGCTGTTACACATTATTTTACTTTTTACCAATTTATTAATTATTTTACGAGTCAACACAAATATATTACGATATTCAATTAAGTGTAGAACTTGATTACTTGTTTGAGTAGCTCTCCGGCTTTATCTAGGTCTCCCCTAAGTGTCAATGCCACTGCCAAGTTATAATAAAGAACGGCTTTTGCAGACTTTTGCTGGTCCGGCTTCCAATTTTCAGCAGTGAGTTGTTCGTGTAATTCAGGTTCCAAGTCGTCTAATGCACTTGACTCTTTAAGCATATCAATAGCTTCATTGGGTTTATCTAATAAAATTAATGCTTCTGCTGCGTACAAGTGACCTAAGAATCTGAAAAGGAAAATTTGCTATATTTCTTTTGTTGGTATGTCTCAGTATTTTATAACAATTTGTTTGTTTTTTGCTATATACTTGAGAACTTTATTTATTTTATCCGACTTGATTAACTCTTGTGAAAACTGGAGTGCCACTACAGGGTCACCAAGACACAGGGCTATATATGCTCCAGACGACTGAATACAGCCAATGAGATAATGTTTTTCAGAATCGATTGGCGCGTGCGATGGTGAATAATCAACTGTATCTCCTTGTATCAACCAAGCTGCATTCCGAATGCACAAAGAACCAAATTCGAGACTTGGCATAGGTACAGCGGCAGAAACCGCTTCACAACTAAAAAATAACAAATAGTCTTAGTTATAACATAAGAACTATAATAGTTTGAGTAATTTATAAGTGTTATTAATATTATATAATTTATTTAGTTGTTAAAATTTACTGACCTGTATTTAGTATCTGGGAACAAATGGGATTTCAAAATTATTTTTCGGTGTTTACCAGAGCCCACCACGCCTTCAATATAAGATTTCTTGAAATCGAAATCCCTATCGTTACTCTATAATGCAAATTTGATATAATATACAATAAACTTAGCCTTAAAGTAAGAATTACTTACGCTTTTGTGTGCCATAACGCAACATTCGGCTAATCGTAACCACAATCTCGGATTCATGTGATACGTTTGTACTGCTTCTATTAAACAGTCAAACGCCTCCTCTGGCTTATGAGCGTGTAATAAACTTATGCCCAAATTGAACATTAGTTCAGTTTTGATACTAGCGCCGATCACATGAAGTGGTTGACCCGATAAAACACCTTCGCCTTGATAAAATATAATATACAATTTATTATACAATAACTATTATGTTTATTATGAATTTACCTTGTATTGGTTTGGTTACGTTTTCTATGTTCTTTTGATGACTATCAATCGCTTTGAACATCGACATATAAGCTATTGTAGGTTTTTTAGTGTTATGATACAAACATGCCACATTGTTTTTTATCAAGACGTGTGGACATTCTCCTGTTTCCCTGTAAAATTACGTTAAGTCAAAATCGGAAATAGTCAATTCCCGTTAAAAAAAATATCATTACTTAAAATTGTCTGTAAGAGGAACTTCTTTCAATATATCCAATGCTTCTTTATGATTACCACGAAGGTATTCTAATTTACCCAGCAGAAACAAAGTTACCGAATCCTGTCATAGATATGCATACAAGTTTTTAATTGAAACCTTTTGTTTATTTATGATTGTGAACATTGAGATACCTGTTTTTCTTTAATAGTATCTAATTGTTGACTACATTCGTCAAATTGATTGAGTTCCATTAAACACCTTACGCGGTATTGAATCAGACTTATTCGGAAAGCATCGGTGGCCGCATCTAAATTCGCTTTCTGCTGGTAAAACATTCATGTTTAGAAAATGTATTTGTTAACACTTTATGGTAAAACCATACTTTTTCAGGTTCCGTGTGATGAATAGGACCTTGGTCTCCGGTACCGGTCAATATATTTGTGGCATTGTCCGTCGATACAAACTGACTTTCGATGTATGTTATCAGTTTGAGCGCTTCAGAAGGTTTGTGGGTTTCCAAATGAAGTTGAACCACCAACAGGCACACTTTATGAGCTAGGCTTTCCTCTGCAAGAAAATTAATTTTATTAATAACAAACCGGATTGAGTTTTCTTCATATAAAGATTTCACCTAGAGACTCTATGAAAGCATATACTTTATTGATTACAGTCAGGGCCTTTGTGTAGTATTTCAAGTGGCATAACAAGACGGCGTAATTGTAATAGTAAATACAATTTTCAACATCTTCCAGCGAGTCTAAGAGTTCCAGGTTAACGTCAATTTGTGAGCAAACGTCTGAAAACGACTTGCGAAATTTGTCCGTCGTGCACAGATCATTTTTATAAAACTCTACGACCGCCTTGTTGAGCATGACTTTGGGATCGTTGGGCCGTACAGCTTCTATCCGCTCCAGAGTCTGCAGACAAGCCTTGTAATTCTTTTGTTCATACTCAGCCAGTGCTTGCTGGGCCCAATCCCGTTCTTGATCGGTGATGTTGCTTGCAGTGGCTCCTTTACCGTTCTGCTGATCTGCTTTGTCAGACATGTCATTCGCTCGTCACTACAATTCAGTTGAACGAAATATATTTACATACAATGCAAAAAATTACTAAAAACAAATACCAATATAATGTCAAACGATGCGCTTGTATTTAAATGTTTTTGTAGTGTTCAAAAATTCCTTATCAAATGTTATCATTATGTTTATTATCGTCCATAAATATAAACAATACTTCAGAGTGTGTTAGGGTGTCTTCTTTTGCGTGTGGCGCACTCTAACCAATATATATAACACCAATGTGTAGACAAAAATTAATATTTTAGGTATTTAGTATAATATTTTTTTTCATAGGTATAATTGTTAACCATTAAAATGTGTAACTTATTTTTATTTGTATTAAATCAAACCTTATCGTATCCACATTAATTAATACAATTGAGTATATATTACAATATAATATACACTCAATGTTAATAGTTTGAATCCTAGAGCCTACAGATGGTTTTTTTTTTTATTAATTAAAAAAAACATGTATAATGTTTAGGCTTAAATACGAAACAGTTAAACGCATTACGTATTCACTTCTAGTTATTTATTTAAAGTGTACAAGAGAAACAATTCAGTCGAGAATCAACCAGAATTTCAGTAAATACCTACCTAAATTCACTTCTTCTCGAATATTTTCGCATGTTTTAAATTGCAAACACAAACTATTTTCTTTAGTTCACTGGCTGAAAATGTGATAGAATTGCAAGTGTCAACCGCATGTTCACAACAATTTACCATTTTTCATTTTTATTGGTTTAATATTAAGTTAAGTATGCTGTACTAAGTATAGGTAAACTCTTTATTCTTATGGGAAGTTCTTTAATATTTAACCAAACACTCGAGGTTATTGATCGGTTTAAAATTCGATACAAAAAGTTTTAAAAATGACACACAGGGTACTGTACAAACATGCAAGTCATTTACACCATGATTCCGTATCACCTAAGTTACATTACATGTCGGCCGAGTACTGACTTCTGACTTAAAGTTAGACGATAAATTAATCTCACTGATATGCATTGATCTGCAGCACATATAATAACAATATTACCCAATCTAGACCATAACACTATATCTAATATAATAAAATTACTCAGCCAACTGGGCGTTTGCTATAGAACATACTACTAACTTCTACAACATTTTTGTTTGAAGTTTTGCTTAAAATTTAATATCGACGCATGTTCAATAAATACCACAATTAACGCAACAACTGTCTGTATAAAAGGATACAATAAAAATGGCTGAACAGTTGTCGTGGAAAAGTCTTTTGACGACAATCGACAAATGGTAAATAGCAGCTTTTGATGGGTGCAATTAAATAAAACGCGAAAAAATGCGCTTTTATTATTAAGGATACGCCATGGACTCGGAATGACTGCGAACAACCATAAGAATGTGAGTGTTGAATTCCAAATGCCGTTGCCTTTTCGAAATACAGTCTAATGAAATTCCTGACTGAATTCCAAAGTTCCTATGTTCGCACTACTTATAGCCAGTGTCCGCTTATTGTCATTTATCGATTTCTATCTAAATTTCCATTTTCCACCAGCCAAACTATCTGTGCCGCAAACGTTCAGTGTGATATTTTCACTGTTGCTTGAATTATGAAGTACCTATATTATATCCATACTGATGACATTATACTCAGTGTAAAATTTTTTAAATTATGTGTTGTTTTCACAACGAATAAATTTAAATGAATGGTTAATGAATTGATTCAAAATAACTAGCCAAGTGAACGTTTTGTCAATAAATCAATTAAGGTCAATTATTAAAAAACTACTAAAAAACTTTTGGCCACAACAATATTTCGAATGGTATCGAGGCAGAAAAAAAGGAGCGGACGGTGCTCCGCGGAACGAGACATTAAAATGTATCCAGTGGTGTTGCGGACTCGTACGCAAGCTGTTAAATAAAATATGTAATACCTCTCTTAGAAAAATAACTTTAAGCCAAGCCGTCTTTTAAATGCAAAATTTCTGGTTTTAACAACGAAAATTAAAACATTTTCAATCAGTTTATAATATTATTATTTTTTATAAAACGTGATCTCAATTTTTTTGTTTTTACCTCCCTCCCAACTTAGTTTTTTTGATAGCAACTTTTGAAACTTAAATGGTAACGTATATATTTTATTAACTTTTGAAATTGAGAATAATGTACTAAAAATGTTGACTGGTCGATAACCAGTTTCGGATAACTATTTTGGAGTTATTGAAGTTTCAAGTTTAGGGCAGGAGGAAAGTTGGAGTATATTTTTACTTTTATCTGCGCGCATTTCCCAACCGCACTTCCCCTCCCATCAAAACGTTTAAACTCTTATAACTTATAACTCCGGGCTGACTCAACATAATGTATAACAGAGTCATAAAGTTCTACTACAGTGATAAAATCGATACTGACTGATTGCAACGTCTCCCCAAAATACTTGTATAAGAGCACATTCAAGACGATTAAACTTGTTTAATAAACCTTTTACCTCACAACGTGTGGTTGGTTTTTGATAAGGGTCATCTGAAAATGTTTTTAACACTCAAACGATTAAATCCCAATTTTTATTAAGAGATCTACAAGCTTCTTCCCAAGCCGACCATCGAGTTTCAGATAACCCTTTTAATGCCACTTTTCACTTTTGCCTTTAACATAATAGCATTTCCCAACATTGAGTTGACGCCGAAAAAAAAAACATACTGCTTGTAGCAATTCACGAAAGTGACAAGATTCTCACAACAACTTGCAGCATAACTACTGAACTACCAACCAAATTTAGAAAGTGTGCTACGCACGGAAAATACTCAGCAAGTGGATTAACATCCTTAATTCTTGCTTGTAGACCTATGTAAGCTCCTGACATATTGTTTGCACTATCATACGATTGTCCTCTTATTATCTGAATCAATGTTAAACAACCAACGCCAGAGTAGTTCACACATTATCAGCTAATTGTTCAGACCTATTCCCAGTATTCTCTAAGAAAACACAAGAATCGTTCTCAGGACGTCCATCTACAACGTATCTTATTACGAATGATAATTGGTCAGAATTTGAAATATCAGGTATCGAATCAACTATTATGGAAAAATACTTGGCTGTTTGGACTTCTTTCACAATGTTTTCCAACTCTTGGTCACTCAACAAAGTTATAAATGTGTCATATGTATGGAATGATAAGTGTGTAGTTAACCCTTTTCCTTTATTAGCATATTTTAAAATGTGAAAAGCTAAAAATGGATCAAAATGTACTATTAATTCCATTGACATTACAAAATTACCATTGTGTGAGTTTCCAATTTTGTCTGAGTCACCTCTAAATGCCAATCCTCTCATTGACAAGGTTTTTACGACTACCACAACTCTTTTTAAAAAAATGTTCCAATAGTTAACTCCATCGTTAATTTGTGCTAATAATTCACTGTCAATTATTTGTTAATGTTCCTCGTTTTCTCATAGTCTGTAAACCTATGTAATTAGTGTGTCTTGTTAAGAAATTAAGCTATGAAAAACAATAGAAATAATTGTAGCCAATAGGATACAACACTCAACAGTCCTATACTCCTATAACATGATACCTCAGTGTGAAGTGTTAATTAAAAAAAATATACTCAATTTCCAGTAAAAATAACATTTGATGAATTTCCAGCGTGGCGTTAAAAGTTGGAAGATCTTTAACTACTAAAATGTTGACACTTGATATTGTCCAAGCTAAACTGCAGACAAATAGGTTCCAGATCTTAATCATAAAACTATGACAAAACAGTTGGTATATTTCGTTTCGACTATCATCAATTTAAATGTATTCTTTGGACATTTTATTGAATATTGACCAAAAAGTTAATATTTCTGTACATCGTTGTACAAGTCATGATAACGTAGACCAAAAGAACTAAGTAAGAAACGTTCGTCACTTCACATCGGACTTATACTTAGTAGGACAAGAGATTCTCAGTTGAAATTCTTATACATATATTGTACGCGTTTGGTGGAGACGATATGTGGCTGATTATGTGAAAATTCCGAGAAGAAGACCACAGTAATTGTTATAAATTATAATCAAATATAATCTATCATATTGCTGTCAGTAAACCGAGGAATGTCCACGGCTGTATAAAATATGTTCGTTTATTGAATACAAAGGAGACGCTGGTGGATCGCGTAAAGCTAAACTTTACCATGACTGGAATTATTTAATAGTCTACGGACGGGTAGGAGCATAGTAGTAGGGCCGAGGGGGGTTCAGCCGATCATACGTAACGGCGTTTTGTTCGGGCGTGACGTCACGCGATAGAGTCGAGTATCCTCGCGCCGTCAACGAGACGCCGGGTGAGCGTCGAACATCTTGACTTTGACGCCGCCGTCGCCGCCGCTTGGATGACAGACACACTGCTGTCATCCGTCGTCTGAGCATTATAATATTGTGTTGTCTCTGCACGCCGTCCGACCGTTGGACCGATGCCGCCGCTGCGGGTGCCACTGGCCGCCTGGCTGGTATGTTGGTTGGCCACCGTGGCCACCGGCAAAAGAGTGTACACCGTGCCCTTAGACGAAACCGGCGACACGACCCTCTACTGGACGGTGGATCGTGCCGCCGAATCGGTCATGTTTGAGGCACACGTAAACGTGTCCAGCCCATTCGATTGGGTTGCTTTGGGATTCTCCGACCGTGGCAACCACACTGATGCCGACTACTGTCTCATGTGGGTCGACTGGAAAAGTCACACCCGAATGCTGGTGAGCAATAAGCTTGTGCTAAATTTATTTAAAAACAAAAAACACCGTCATAATCACTCTAGGACTTATTACATAGTGGCGATGCCAAACGTTTTTCACTGATGGGTCAAAGCGGAACAGATATTTTCCCCAACGGGGCTTATAGTATTATTATAAATGAAGGGCACAGGGGGAAAACAGTAGTAGTCACATTATGAACAATTTTTTTTTCAAATAGTTTTTTTTAAATTTATGCCATTATTTTTTTTTTATTTATGTCAATATATTATTTCACACGTTGACTGCCATGAGGGTCATTTTTTCCCCTCGGTAGAATTTTTAAGTGGGCCATGAGAGGTCTAATAATAGAAATAAAGTTTAAAGTTGTAAAAAAATATTGTGGCGTCAATGGATAACACACTGAAATAGGCGTGGCAGTCAACGTGTTAAATAAATACATTTATTATTAGAGTAGCATTTAATGTGATTTTTTTGTTCTTATGTAAGAGGGAGGGGAAATCATGAACTTTGTTTTTGCTATACTCTAAAATTTTCATAATGTGACTACTACCGTTTTTCCCCTGTGCCCTTCAAATAATAAATAATTTTTTCCCATTCTCTTATTTATTAGAATATATAAAATTCTATTTATTTTTAAATTTCATAAATTGCTGTTAGGGTACAGCCTGGGTGAGGCCTTTTGTGTGATTGCCTTAGTGGCGTATTTATCAGGGTGGTATATCACACCCCAGAATCCTAAATTTTATATATATTAAATATAATCTATACTTGTTAATTAAAAAACTCTTCTTGTTTTCATTAGTTTTGGACGAAATTTTACAAAAAACAGATTTTCATTTCAATTTTAGTCTGAATATTAGGTAAATTATTTTATAATGATAAAAATATAACAATTTTTGAAGACATTTCTTTTGCTCGTTAAAAAAAAACGTTTAAAAATGGTTACAAATTTTATTTTATTCAATACAACTTGAAAACAATTACAAATTTAGATAAACAAACTGTGACCAATAAACAGACAAATATGCTTATCCAAAGAAAAAAAAACATGTTCACATTTTTTAGTCTATATATATATATATATATATATATATATATATATATATATAAATAATATAAGAAAGGATATCGAATTAATTTCTTATTTTAAAAACAATATCATGTTATGTTATTAAATGTAAATAATGAATTTCTTTAACGGAAATACTACAACTTTTGTTTTAAAAGTAATTTTTGTTTTTTGATTACCGACTAAAACACTTGAAATAGTTTTAATACACTTAAAGTACGTTTAAGTTGTGTATATCTTATTTCCAAGTATGTTACTTGAAATGTACGATTTTTATTTTTTAATAGTGAAAATAAAATATAATTGTCGTTTGTTTAATAAGAAAACCCAAACTAAAACGTGTACCTCATATGATAAAATGATAAAACAATTAACTATTGAGTAGAATATGTTTTAGGTGCATTATGTTTAATTAAATTAATTGATGGCTTTAAAGGATACATGGTCTGATCACACGGGAAGAATAACCGTAGACGAACGACAGGATTGCGAAGAATTTGACGTGGTCCGTCTCCACAACGGCCTTACTGCTTTGACGTTCACCAGAAAATTCGACACTTGCGACGATCAGAGAGATTACTTGATTGAAGTAAACAACGGCTATTTAATAAATATATGTTTTTCATTTCTCGACGAATCGCTTAGAAACATTTGAAACTCTTAACGGTAGTTATTATCTATTGTGTTAGGATGGGACAACTCATTTGGTGTGGATGGTTGGCGGAGGTCCGCTGTTCGCAGTAGACGGTCTGTTGGTGTCGCAAGCTAGAGCTAAAGGTATGCAACGGGTACAGTTGTTAAAACCAGAAAGGCCGTCCGTTAAGTTGCCAAATAACGTTGCGAAAATCGACGTGTTGGCCAACAAGGTTGAAGTGCCAGCCGAAGAAACCACCTACTGGTGTCACGTGATGAAGATTCCTCTGGATTTATCGTTTAAACATCATATTGTCAGGGCAAGTATAACATTTACTACATTTACATGGTCTAAAACATACATAGGACTACATTAATTTATTTAGAAATTGAACGAATATAATATTAATATACTAATGTTATTCGGTTAATGAATACTCTACCTTTTTTTATACTATTTGCGTTTAGTTTGAATCAGTCATCGAGGAGAGTAGCAGAGGCGTTGTACATCACATGGAAGTTTTTCACTGCGAGGCTGGTGCAGGAGACCAGATGCCTTTATACAGCGGTCCTTGCTTCGGCGACAAGAGGCCGTATAAAACACAAGTGTGCAAGAAAGTCATGGCCGCCTGGGCTATGGGGGCAACGGCGTTTGTTTATCCAGAAGTTTGTGCTTATAACTGTTGTTAGCTAATTTTATGTACAGTCTTAATAAGCAGATTTCGTGTTTCCGTGTTAACGCAGGAAGCTGGTTTGCCTATCGGAGGTCCAGATTTTAACGGTTTCGTTATGTTGGAGGTGCACTACAACAATCCTGGTTTAAGGAAGGGTAAATATTGTCTACAGTTTAAAGATCTAGATTAGGTGACCTTTTATATATACAGTAAAGTTGTATAATTCGCTTAAAGGAATAGTGGATAGTTCGGGCGTAAGACTTTACATAACGCCAAATGTGAGGAAGTATGATGCCGGTGTAATTGAATTGGGGTTGGAGTATACAGACAAAATGGCAATTCCTCCTAATCACCCGGATTTCACATTAAGCGGTTACTGTATAGCTGAATGCACGGCAGTGGTGAGTACCTTTTTTTTATTTAACAACCCTTACGCTTGTAGGCAGGAACTTTCCATTGTTCCTCCACTTCTGCTTTTATGTTTAGCTTGGTATATTTGATAAAATTGGAACTAAGTCCAAACAGGTACTTCTCCCGGCCATAACCACAAGCGCCTTACAAACAAAACATTAGATGTTCTGCCAATTAATTGTTAGCATTCGCCATACTTCAAAAATATAAGAATTAAATTATCTTCTGTTTATCCCATTCTATACACACTTTTATTAAGAAATACATTCCAACAATTTTTTCCACCTATTTTTCAATAGGTTATTCATAATTTATATGTCTACAGCTTATATTATTCGATGCATGTAAGCAGACTGTAGATTCCTCTTTTAAGTTAAAACACATTTTAATTGCCCTATTCTGCTTATTACTGTTTATTTCCCTTGGAGACACTTAGTATCACTCGATAAAAACTATTGATACTATTAAAGCATTCCATTTTATTGTATTATTTTTTTTTTAATTTAACATGATAATTATAGTCAGTCTGCTTTTAGTATGATAATATATTCAGTAAGCTTAATAAACAAACAATAAAACTAATTAGTATTTTAATATATTTAAAGGTTTTAATATATTTTTGGAGTTGAATTAAAATTATTCGATATAATAATACACAAATACAGGCCAAGGCCCAAAAGTATTTAAAAAATGCTCGCATTATTGTTATAAATTGTACAATAAATGTTTATTCAGAAGATGACATGTAGTCGGTAGACCGAAACATTTATAGTACGTTACAAATTAGTTATTTGTATAATGTTCTAGGTCTATTTGTGTATTTTATTAACAACTGTAAAACGTTTTAAAGTTTACGACTCTCATTAAAAATAATATGGTGATGATTTGTAGAAGGCTATATTAAACCACAGATATAATATAAACATACTATATAGCGGACGACCATCCGAAAATTGTGTCAGTCCGCCATATGCAAAAAGGGCAATATCATAATGTAAATGCATTATGATATTGTCCTTTTTGCATATAGTGAACTGACACAATTTCATTAAAATCTTGGTCGTCCGCTCTCTAGTATGTTTATATATCTGTGTATTAAACTGACATTAGTAGCTAGGAATAATTATCAATACAAAATTATTTTAACTATTCCAACTTTTGTATAAGCAATAGAAATTAAATTAAATATTTAGTCTGTATTGAGTGTGAATGCTTAGCTCATTGGTTGAACGATAGATGGCGCTCATATAATAAAGCGTTTTATTAAATACATTGAAATTTACACTACTTGGATATTAATTGTGAACGGCATACCTATTCCTATTTTTTTTGTTATATATAATGGGTAAAATATAAAACATTTATTCAATTTTTGCTTATTAGAGAAATTCAAATCAACCTAAAGCCTAATGCTTTACTTAGTTCTTCAGCAAAGATATTGAAATATTAGTTTAGAGCTTTTTTATTTTTTAGAGTATTTAAGTTTTGTTACATTATGAATGACCGAATTCGTTTTTTTTAAGTACACTTAGAATAAAATAGAAGTTAGTCACTTGCTGTGGATAAGAAATGATATATTATTTATAAACCAGACGAATTAAAGGCATACCTAAACTATAACCAAACATGATACACATGACTAGTTTACATGACTTCAATATTAAAATGTGTATACTTCATACATTTTAATACAATTTGAGTCACCTTGATCAATGAAAGAATAACTTTTTAAAATGTTTCAAACATTTCGTGTAAGGAAGAGGCTGTCTCAATCAAGAGAGTAAATAAACACTTGATGACTGATGGTATTAGTTTGTTGATTAAAATCATTAATCGTTATAATTTATTGTATCACTACTCGCGTTTTTGTAAGGTGCCTAATAGTCGTTTGCATTGTTTTGTAGAGCATACCACCTTCGGGTATTGAAATATTCGGATCGCAATTGCACACTCATCTGACCGGAACAAGGATTTACACGAGGCACGTGCGGGACGGACAGGAACTACCGGAACTCAATAGGGACGATCATTACAGTACTCACTTCCAGGAAATCCGATTGCTCAGCAAACCGGTTCTAGTACTGCCGGTGGGTATTTCATCGGTGGTTTTTAAGTACAATAATACAATACCTAACCGCAAAATATCCTGCAATCAGTTTGCCGTTTGTTCTGCGACGCTATCGGTGCGATGACCGATCAACAGTGTGTAGGATAACAATTACAATGCCCCTTCGAGAGCAGCGCGGATTGGGTTGCAAGACAAAATAATCAAATGTTGGAATTGTAATTACATTACCTAACGGATAACAAACAAAAATATTAGAACCCTAAGGTTTCGCGCCACGGTTCAATCGCACGGCCGCCAAGTATTTTCTAATTAATTACAACAATAGCCGCGGTACACTAACAAACAGAAATCAAAAAAATTATAATATGCCATCGAAACACTGCGGTACTGGGCAGATCGCTATATGCCTAAGTACATGGAAACGCAGCTGCGCAGCTTGTAATTAAACATGTATTACCAACGGACAAATCGTAAAAGCTAGTCGTCGCCGCTGCCGCCTTTAATACATTTAATACTAATTATCGCGTAGAGTAATGATGGTTTGTGTATATCGTCATTGGTCGTTATACTCATTACGTTGTCGGTTGTACTCGGTTAGGTGCTTGACAACCGCAGATTACCATATAACGTTTGACTCGAGTTTGCGTGACCGAAGAGACATAACGGAGATAATTATTAAACAAAGTGATTCTGCTGGATAATGGATACATAGTTATAGTAGAATACGGTAGGTACATAGACATGCTGTGAGAGATACATCGCAAATTTAACGACCCGAATAGTCATAAACTAACCGTTAACCATTATTATTATTATTATTATTATTATACATATTTAATGTGGTTAATATTGTATAAACCAATGCGATACAGCCTTGTTTTAATACAGTACACGCAGTTAATGGCTATTACTATTATTACACTGTTTAATAGTGTACCCATCTCTTGACGCGTTCCGACGACTTAATCACTGCGATCTGTTAAAAACATTATAGTTACGGTGTTTCCATCTCTTGATTTTATTAAGAGAAGTGTACAAAACATAACACGGTTCATTTCTCAAATAAGGAAATTGAAAGCGGGCTGTTTTTAAGGGGTTTTATATGGGCAATATATAAGACAAATGTGGTTTTAATAAACTTCGACCACGTTAATTTATTTTCAGATAATTTTTGTATTAGGTTCAGGGAATAATTTTTAACTTATACAATTCTTTTACGTGTAAAAGCCATTTTGTTCTTAAAAGAAACCATTTTAGACCTAATAGCCTGACAAAATTGCGCCTACTTAAAATAATCGAGTCTTATTTTTGTACTAATGTTTGAGCTGATCTAACTTTTTTCCAGGTTATTGTGAAAGTCGACATGTCAATAGCTATTTCGTTTACTTAAAAAAGCCAATGAAGTGAATACTACAAATTTTATAAATTCAAATATGATTTAAATACAATTTTAACTGAAATATCAAAAATCGATTCCCACAATAATCTAGAAAAGAGGCCGATAAACTCAAATATTTTTACAGAATTGAAATCCGATCATCTTAAGTAGGCGTAATTTTGTCAGGCTTTTAGGTCTAAAACGCCCAAAAAACGATATCTTTCAATTCTCAAAAATATTATATTGTACTAATGCCGAATTTCACAAAACAATAATAAAGTATATAGTTCATTAATATTTAATGGACCAATCACGGGCTCTATAACGTCAAATGAATCACATTTTTTTATACTTATTAAGTTTAAAAGTATCGAACGGGTAAGTTTTTGAAAGCAATTTTAAAATATAACTTTTAAATAAGTACAACAATGCATTATACTTAACAATTTAATTATCAATTATAATACATTTTGCAGGAAAAATAAAATAAATTAAAACAAAACATATAAAAGTAATTTAAAAAGTATGAATACAATTGGGAGTGTTTTTAGTTTAGATATATTCCGAAAAAAATCAAAATATTTAATTGAATTACTTAATTTATATTATTATACGGTTTATTAGATATAGCGAAAAAACTATATGATTATCGGGGACAAATTAGACGGGGCAGATGAGCAAATTCTATTAGGCCACTGCCGTTTTAAATTATGGGCCGGTATGTTATAGTAAATTTGTTTCTTGCGCCAGTTCTATGATAAATAAAATGACGATTTTTAAATATTTTGTTTGCTGTTAATAAAATATTTGCTCACTGAGTCGGGCCTTGTCTAGTCCGATGTCCTTGTTCACTGTATTATGTTACTGTTATAAACGACGTATTGTAAGGTTTTCTAATGTTTTGCTTAAATATTTTGTAACAGTATAAAAAAAAAATTGGATTATTTTGTTTGCTTTTAAACATAATGTTGAATAATAATATACATGTATATTGTTTTTGTAGGGGGACGCTCTGATAACCACGTGTCATTACAGTACTGAAAATCGGCAAAACATCACTTTGGGTGGTTTTAGCATCACCGACGAAATGTGCGTTAACTACGTGTACTATTACCCAAAGACCCAACTGGAGGTGTGCAAGAGTTCCATCAGTGATCAGAATCTCAAAACGTACTTTAAATTTCTCAACGAGTGAGTAGTAAATTTCTCATCGGTATCTTCATAGAAAATGTATTAAAATTAATCCTCCAATACTTTTAATCACAGTAGCCAATAAAAACGTGGGTTCCAGTTTAGACGTTTTACATTTAAATTTGAATGATATAAGTTACTACTTACCTGCTTGTATATGTGCAGTCTAATGTTGGACGAACTAACAAGCTATCCGTTTTTACCTTTATCTGTAGTAGTTTTTACTGCAGCATCTAATGATTTATAAACTTTGATTGACAGTGCATAAGTGTTATATTTTTGTGTTTGGGACAGGTGGGAAAGGCAACCGACGTCCCTGGAACAGTGTGTCAGCGATAACTACCGAGGAGTCGAATGGACTCCAATGCGAAGTCAAGTACTACATCAGGTCTATTCAGACAGCACGTTGTCTATGCAGTGCAACAGGAGTTCGGGCGAACGGTTTCCTGGTGACTGGGAAAACAGGCCTTCCACGAAAATCCTATATACTCTACCACCTCCGGCTAGAAATTGTCCTTCACAATTAAACGTCGTAGGATAACTGTATAGTAGCATTATCACTTATCAGTCGTCTAGATTGACCGTAGCAACATCAGCTGAACCAGATATTAGAAGTTATCATTATAATATTAGCCTCGCTTACACTACATAACTATAACTAATTATAAATATTATACAGTTTATGATAGTTCACTGATTTTTGTCATGTCATATGTGTTATAATAAAACGCACAAATTATAATCACCGTTAATGTATTATTCATCTTGTTTTCTTAAAAATTAAATAATTTGGCAAAAGTAATAAATACTTTAAATGAATAAATTACTCTACCACAATTTTAAACCATATTAAACTATAAGCCCGTTAACTAAGTTGACTAGGTAGTATAAAAAAAGTCATTGTGACTTGTAGGTGGTATTAAAAAATAAGTATCTGCTTTTCTTTTTCTAGCTTATTTACGTATTTAGATCTATTTTTAGCAATCTGTCTATACCTAATGATTTTTTAGTTTTGTTGCCTGATACTCTCACCCCATGTGCTTTGAAAACACCATCACGCTTTTCAACTCTTATTCTACTGTGCTGACTTGGTTTAAATTCGTTAGGTCTATGATTTTAGAGTCGGGTGTTCGAGCTAAGTTTGAGTGCATGCACATTACAATGGACAATGGATCTTTTCTTGCAATGAGACACTTTTTACTTAGTTAACTGTTCTTAATAGAATCATAAGTCATGTTATTTTATCACAACTATGCTAATTTAAAAAATGACGACATTGCTTATGAGTTATGTGCTTCAAGACTTCAACTTTCCATTCGATAAAAGTATAAAATCTCAAACGTAGAAATAGAATAGAAGGGGAAAGGGAAAAAAATAGTTCATTGCAGTTTATCCAATTCGATCAACGTTCAGTCACGGTCAAAACATGTTCTGTATGACTGTATGTAATGTGATCTACAACCCTCTACAACCGAATTATGTCAAGACGTTTCAATGGCACAGCGTAGAGAAGGCTGTTCTTATAAATCTGTACTGGGCTAGAAAAATATGATTATCAAATGCAAATTACATAATTTACACATTATACTTAAATTGCTTCAGTTAGTCTGCGGGTCGTAGAAGCAAGCCAGCTGTGGAGCAGTGGGTATTATCCAAAATGAGAACAACTAGCAAGGAACAGAAAACGACTCAATGGAATTTTGTTAAAATAACAACATGTCGAATGATCTCAAAAATTTATTAATTTATTATCAATCTCCTCCAGGCTCCAATTAAGATTTTTCCATTTATGTAACTTATTAATTTGCACCTACAATTTAAAAGTAAATTTTAACATTTTATGAAAATTTCAACATTTCTTTGCATGTAGTATAGGTGTATAATATTTCAAAAATCTATGTATTTGGGGTTGTCTGTTTTGGTATTCTTAGAAAAAAATTGTTCTCTTGTACTTAGGCAAGTATTTTATACGTGAATAGATAATCCATTTCATTATTAAATAATTATTTGAAAGATTTGGGTATGTATAATTTTTTTAAGTTGATTTTAAAATTACACTATTGCAAAGATTAGTTGTTTCTAGTTATTTTACATGTTTTATTTAAAATTAAATAATTTTAAAAAACGCAGAGGAATAAAAACATTTCAAGCGTTAAAAATTGGCAGTATAAAATATAGACTATAATTTGTTACTTTTCATACAGTGATTTTAAAGGGATTTATTAAGCCACTTCCCAGTTTTGACTGAAATAACAATTGTGTGGTACATGTTTTCAGTATTTATTTGCAGTATTTCTATTTCCTTTTAATTGCTGTACTATTTACTGTGTTGTAGTTTAAAGTGTTGTGTTGTCGAGCCTAATTTTTTTCTTTCACTACGTTAATTAACAACGTTAATAACGTTATTAACAAGTTCATCAGTATCTAGTTAATTATTTGCAGGTTAAAATGAATCAATTAGTTAAAACTATTGTGTACCTATATCCTAGGTCTTTTGTTAATTTGTAATAATTTACGGTAATAATGTTTCTAATACAGGTTAAGAACTGCTTTTACTCAAAAGTTTTAGACTTAATAAAAATAAAATTCTCTTGTAATCGTATTGTGTGATAATTTGCTATGGTTTTAAACGCGTTAACAAAATAAATGTATGACATAAACGTCCGCCGCGGTCGTTATTGTACGACTAAATGATTGTTTCTGTTTGATGACTATGCAAAACTACAAAAGTCTTAAAAAAACATAGTACATCTTTTTCATAAATGTACCCACTATTTTGTACAGCAAACGCTTAGATAATAGAAACTTACCAAATACAAACGAGCATTCACTCAAATTGCAATTATACGCTAAGTGTAGATAATAATTCTTCACCGGGGTACACAACAGCTATTCATAGCGTTAGTTGAGATGTTTGACATTATGTTGTAACAATAAAAAAAAAAAAAAATACTTTGGTAATAATAAGCTACAAATATAACAGCGCACTTACCTATGTACATATGTTATACTTAAACTAAAATATAAATACATGATTAATAATAATTGATTATCTACAATTGGAAAACACAACGTCACCCAGTATATTATATTTTTAAATTGTGTGCTTTAAAATAATATATTATATACATATTATTTAGCAGCCTCACTTTAACGTCGATTTAGGTTTCCTTACAAAGTCTATATGCTATATATTTTATTAAAATTAATTCAAGGTAAAATTGATAACCCTAGGGTTTTTAAAATTATTTTTTTTAAAGTTAATAGTGGAAGCGACCAGGCTAATTAATTTTTTCTACATACTTACCCGACCAACTAATTTTTGTATGAATGGTTCTTCAATAAGAACTATAAATACATTGAGTACTCACTCTAATCTCTTTCGCATAGAAGTCGATTTAAAAATATTTTAATAATTAATTTGCCAAATTAAATAAAAAATCGCACCAGCTTATTTTGACGGATATTATAATTAAGTATTGCTAGGTTTAATACAGTTATCACAGTGTTTAGAAAAATTAATCAAGACACATCGAAGTTATTTACCAATTAAAAGTAGGTGTGTGATATGTGCTTATGTGTATCATCTAAAACAATTAAGAAAATTTACATTGACGAGAACATTTTATCATTTTTGATCTCACCTCTAAAATCTAAGCTTAGCTTTTATGATTGAACGGCAGTTTTTTAACATTGCACAGGGAACATTTCATTGACCCAAGAGGGCTTCGTTCCCTCACTTCCTCCATCACCACCTTAACCAGTATAAAAAAAAAATTATAGAATGTCAAAAACTAGAAAGTAGATGGACATAATAGTAATATTATAATAAGAAATACGGAAAACTGTATAAAAACAGCTATCCCCACATCTCCCCTGTAAAAACGACACTGTTGACTTGGACTCGATTTCCCTACTTGCGCACATCTGTTTTAGTATTACTCTAACAGCTATTAGGATTCAAGGACAGCGGATTTATATTTCACACATAACTAATATAATTACTTTAGAGAGTAGAACAAAACTAGTCTATACTTAGTAGTTTTTAAATAAACGGTTACCAAATTATGACATACACACAGCACACTGCGTTACAGTTTTGCCAAATAATCTAGAGAACTACAATTTGACTTAGATTTAGTAATACACTCGGGGAATAGCGACGTTTTTGGATATACACAGTAATAACGAGACACGAGAGCCAAAAGATTGGAATTGAATTATACCGGCTGAAAAGAGAGAGAGATCTTACACATATATAGGAAACATAAAAGGAAAGAACTTAGACGGCGAGGAGGTCTCTTTTGTCGGTGTTTTATAAGATTTACTCGTTTTCCGAAAAACAGCAGGGTAAATTACACACACACAAACACACACTACATTATATACTGTACAGTGAAGTAGTAAGTAGAAAGAAGAACGATCGTTCTTCATTTGTCACGGGTTCGTGCCCACTGGCCCCTGACCTCTACCCGGTCGGCAGTGTTTTCATATACATATATATATTTTATAAGCTCGTGTGTGTGTGTGTGTACAACCGGACCGCTAATACATCATAGTCCTTTGGGAAATAGCTCTCCTCCTATAGTACATACATACACACACACACACACACACGCGCGCATCGCTTTACTCCCTTCGTCCTTTTAGCCAATCAAACACACGTCGTCGCCTTTGCACCTCTGTAAAAGCGGTGGACCAAGATCGATTGTGCTAAAAGCCTGGTAGTGCTTGTGTGTGTGTGTTTTATTTATGGCCTCACAGTTTATCTTGTTTACTATACGGCTGTAAGCATACCTAGAGCCTATCCGAATCGCCCTTTGATTGGTCGTGGTGCTTGAGGCAGGGTATAAAGCAGCTAAAGGGAATGTATCGTATTTATTATTGTGCATCAATTGAGCGGTGGCGATGGCGGCGCATATGATATTTTTTTTTCCCCAACGTCATCAACTCTTTGCCGCCACAATCCGCACCTATATACGTGACATATCCCCCTAGCGACGGCCGCCAACTTCACCACCTGCAGTCGGCCAAGAACCGATGAATAATTCAGTGTTTGTGCTGAAACGTATAATCTAAAGTCGCTGGTATGACAATTATTACAGTACCGGGCCATCATAAATCTCGGGATGATGTTATTATATTATAGTATATGCTAACGCAACGTGACGATGACGCCGAAAGTCTAAGTCTGTCGGATGAATAGATACAATAAATTATAGTTAATATACGACTGGTTTCAAATGCACTGCGTTCTTAGCTATTTTATAGAATATTCTCGCGCAAACCCCACTGTTTGATTGTCGGTAATATTATAAAAATGTGGTTTGAATAAACTTATCTTTGTAGAACTAAAAAGCTTCTTAGCTTCGCGTCGAAATTAAAGTACAATTTTCAGTAAAGTACTAGTTGCAAATTATTTTCTAATCAGAGAATAATCCCAAACTCATTAAAAGCGACGGTATAATATACGAACTCATCTAGATTTATCCAAAAATTAAAAACGTGTGGGCCATGTTTGCCGACTAGTTCATTCATAAATTATGATAATAGTTATATTTTCAAAAATAACTGTATTCTAATTTTAATTATATTAATGACAACACTCATCAAATGCCGCTTTACAAAATATATTAATAGCAGCTGAGTAAATGTGTTTTATCGTAAAATTGATATTATAGAACATTTTTTAAAAATAAATTGTTTTATCGCTTTTTGCGGTGTTAAAATAAAGGGTTTGA